CAAAGTGTTAGAATTGGAATAACAATAATACAATAATAATAATAACAATAGTATAATAATAATCTAATTAATTAAATATATTTATTTTCCATATTATTTATAATGTAAAATAATTATTTAATTATAAAAACTATTTATTTTTCATGTAATTTATAATGTATATTTTTTTAATATTTATTGGTTATTTTGCTTATATCTTGTTCACGTGATTACATGTATTAGCTATTTTACTTGTATAATTAATTTACTTATAAAAATAAATTAACTTCAAAACCAATATAAAAAATTTTTTATTTTTGCTCATCCCAAATATTTTTTATATAAATATATTAAAGAATACTTTCTAAAAAAAATTAAAAATTGATCTAATTTTGGATGTGGAATTTCAATTTGCATTACTTGATTTTTGTGGATGGCTTTTAGTTACCTGTAATATAAAGTAATCACGTTTATGCCATATTTTTCCATTTATTAAAAATTCCTCAGAATTAAAATAATATCAAGCTAAATAATTTTCGATTATAACATATACAAATATAAAAAATTATTATTATTTATTTATGCTAGTGTTAAAAAATTATTATTATTACTTTTACTACTATTACTATTACTATTATTACTATTACTATTACCATTACCATTACTATTACTATTACTATTATTATTATACTATTGTTATTATTATTATTGTATTATTGTTATTCCAATTCTAACACTTTGATAGTACCCTGACTATTCGCCGCTAGCACAGTATTCGAGTTCTTTTTCCAACAGACAGAACTTACAAATAGGGATGCATCACTGTCTGAAATCTCTTCGCCCTATTAAAGAAATCAAAATGAGAATTACAAAATACTTTATATCATTGCGTTAAATAACCAACAATTACCGTTACGTTATTAATACTGCCAAAGTTAAATCGGACAACTGGTTGACACAAATTTTTGTAATATGCAAAAACCGAATTATCCTCACTTCCACACGCAATCCAATCGGAGGTCGTAGTAAGACCAACGAAATTTTTTTCATTTATGTGTCCAGTGAAGGTCCTTGCACACGAATTTGTATTGGTATCCCAGAGTCTTAGAGTACTGTCCGTTGATCTATTATATTGAATAGAGGAAATGAACCCATTTTAAACTCGGAAAAATTCTCAAACAATCAAAGACTTTATTTATTTATTACATACGCCGATACAAATTCATTGGATCCCATGAATTTGACATAAGATACCGCTTTACGATGACCTTTATAGACGAACACTGGTTCTCGCGTGTGTCGTAAATCATAATAATGTACATGATGGTCTAAAAATTCAAATTATTAAATTATTTAATCAATAATATGATAGATCGCATAATGGCGGATTTGCGTAATGAATTTACTATTAACTATGAAACCAATCTTTGTTTTTATTGGGTAATAATATATATCAACTTCCAAACATTGACCATACATAATTGATCATCAATTTTAGCCAATGGAAACAATGATTGGTTTTCATAGTATATCCATTAGGCAAATCTGCCGATATGAAAAGATTATTGATAAGATATTCACCTGCGCTGCCAAATGCAATGTAATGACTGATATCGGGATTAAATTTGACACAGCAAATATTAGCTTTGCTTTCAATGGTGAATATTGAATGCCTTTCTGTAGTTGACCAAATTTTCACTGAATCAAACATAAAAAACGATTATTAAAAGGTGGTTGAATAATAATTAGTGTTAAGCAGATTTTGAATATTTTGATAATACCTTTGGTATCGTCACTACCACTAGCCAATTTTGTAGGATCCATTCTACTAAAATCAACACTCCAAGCACGCTTTTCATGTTCATCAAAAGACATTACTTGCAGTCCAGTATTAACGTCCCATAGGGAGACCACACCGTCATAGTCTGCACTTGCAATTTGAGCTTTTATATACGTATTCCACGATAAACAACTAATATTTGTTTAATCATAAAGTGCGTGTAAATTAATTAGACTAAAATAAAAATCGAAAAAAAATTATATAATAAAACATTAACCTAATTTTACTTTTGCAAGTCATTTCTTTTATCGGATAATGAAGGTATGAGTCCATAACCTTTCTTTGATTGAGTGTGTTATCCCTGATGGAAGATGAGCTCGCATTATTATTACTATTATTATTAGTATTATTATTATTATAACCTAATGAAGCCCCAACAAGTTGTCGTTCGATATTGCCATATTCGAAAATCTTTATTTTTTTAGTGACACCAGCGGTCGCAAAATACTCATCATCGCGGTCAAATTCAATGCTAGAAACTATGGAAGATGATCCAAATAAATCCCCGTATCGCAACGTATTCACTAGACGAAATTGGCCGTATCTTGTGAATGAATTGAGTGTATCCGAGAATTTGGATAATCCTCCTCTCTGGGGATCAGCTGTATATAATGGAAATAATTAAATTAATAACTAAATCAGTCTAAACAATGTCAAATATAAAGACATACTATCTGGCAATCGATAGGATAAGTAACATGATTCCAGATCTTCAAAGTGTTCTCGAACTCGTTTCTTTTTTGCAGACAGTTTCTGGTCAAGCGCTTCTGATGGCATTCTTTATACATGTGCATATAATAAATTAATATCATTTTGTGCATTCATAAAGTAAATGTTGAATTAGTAATCAATCAATACCTTTCAAACATTGATGAATTATTCTCGATTCCCGAATCTTCAATTTCCTTTTTTTAATATATTAATAAGCTTTATAATCTTATTGGATTTGCGTGTACACACAAAATGACATACCGTAAGTTTTCTCTTTTTGCTCGATTGATTACGTGCATTTCCTTGTTGATGAGGTTCACCATCTGGAACATCAGCTTCTGCAGTATCATTGGGTACTTGTGCTCCTATATAATTATTTGAAGTCTCTCGGGTACTTTCTTCATAAGTATTTGAGCCAATGAATGATTGTTGTTGCTGTTGTTGCCCCAAAGATTTGAGCTTCTCATGTGTAATTTCCAAATCTTTATCGATGCATTCTAACTCCTCGGTTAGCAGTTCTAATTTCTACCCAACGGAAAATTGATCAATGAGTGAGTGCTACACGTAATGTCATCGAAACAAAATTGATTGTTCGTTATGTACCTTTTCCTTTTTTGATTTCATATTTGACAAGAAATCCGCTAATACATCTAACTCGAGCTCTTTTTCGGCTGACTCCATTTTATGTTTTTTTGCTAGCAATGTAATCAACATGGTATCGATATCTAATTTTTAGATAAAAACTATGAATTAAAAAATCAAAAAAAAAAATCAATTTCAAATTATTGAATCAGCGCCATTAATTCCAACCTTCGACACTTAAGTCTGTACTCATAATTTTTTCTTTCATCTGCTGGGTTTGTGTAGGCGGAGTCGATTCATACTGGTTTGCGGCTATAGCGGTCGCCTTTTCCAATAGCCTATTCACTATTTAATCGATTTTTTTAACCGTGATTGATTTATATAGTATAATTACTTTCAGAAAAATTAAATTACTAACTAACATAAAAAGTTTGGAAAAATTTGATCTCGCATTAAATGAGCTCCACATGTGGGGCAATCTTTCTTGCGATCAAGGTGTTCGACGATACAAACATAACTATGCAAAACAAATCAATCAAATAAGTATCCAATGTCTTAATTCTTATGATTTTAACAAGAGACAAATTGTTACCAGAAAGAATGTCCACATCTTCCCATGAACGCTTCTTTTATGATTTGCAAACATATAGGACTAAAACAACCGCGGATCAAGTGTAAAGATTAAAGTGTAAATAATTAAGGCCAAATAAAATATTAACACGATAGTTAATGCAATTACCACAAAAATTCTTCGATATTTGGAGGACTTTGTTGTTGTGTCACATCGTTATTAATAGAGGCAGCAGTAGCAGTAATCGGTACTTGAGATGACAAATTCATACTCGCTCGGGGTGTATGTGGAACATTCTGAACTGAGAGCACAGATATTGGTCTAGAAGACGACGACGACGATTGTACTGTCTGATGATATAGTGATTCTTCTCGTGGTTCTTGTTTAATGTACACTTCATCAGATAATGTTCTACTATCAGATGCTCTTTGAGTACTATTAGAGTCCTTAACAGCAGGATCGTTGTCCTTGACACGCATAAATAAGACACAAAGTATATTATTGAATGTTTAAAAAAAATCGTTTTGACAAATTCTTTGATGCAAACTACTTTATTAATCTGGTGTAATTTGCAGATCTATATTAATAAATACAAATACCCAAATAAAATTAATGTTATATGATTTTTATTGTGAGGGGAAAAATGGTTTACAGGATATTTTCGCCTCATTATCTAAAAACGATTGTGAATTAGTATTAAAACTCTAATTTTATACGAACATTAATAATTTTTTACAAAAAAACAAATGTTATTATAATACTAGTAGAAAATCAAAAAAAAAACAAACAGTCCATCACGGCCAATATTAATTAGTTAATTGATATAAATTGCAAAAAAAAAGAAATGAAAGTATTATTTTTTTCTTCCGGATAATTTATCGTGTAAATAATTAACAGATTTCCCCGCTCTCATCTTCTCAAGAGAATTAATAGCTGTTCGTTCATCATTGCCATAATCTTCTATTCTTCGTTTAATTTCTTTGATAATTTTTCGTCGTCGTGACAGTCTACTAGAATTGTCGCTTGCCCATTTGCTTCCGTATTTAGTTAATAATTCTTCTACAGAAGGATTTCCATCCAAGCCTACGTGCCACTCATTCCACACATCATATACCGTATTCAATGCTCCTAATTCGGGAAGTCGATGATAGCGTGGCGATGTAGGGGTCGGCGATGGGGGTCTAGAAGTTTCTTGTTGGTTGCTACTATTAAATGAAGTAGAAGAGCCAGCGCCAACATAATAATCTTCAGATTGATCGATATCCTTATCGAAAAAAGTTCCAGTATCATCATCAATCGGGGAGGGAGATTCTTCATAAGAAACTAGATTTTGACCAGAAGCTTGATTAAACGCGGGACTCAATGAAGATACTGAATTCAGAGTACCTCCGGAACTTGTTGGACTGGTTATGTCATCTAATAATCCTTGACTTTCATTATACGGATCATTAGGAATCAACGAACTTTCCATGGCAGATTCATTATAATCTTGGACGGGGGTATTATCAAAGTTGCTGCGGGAAGGAGGATTATAACTATTTATTGTAGTTTCATAGTTACGCGGCGATGGTGGTATGTAGCTGGCATAAGTTGTATTATCGGAAGTCTCCGATATGTTTGATAGTTGATGTGACGTATTCATAAAAGATTCTGCATTATCGGGTACATTTTTAATACTTATGAAGGACGAAATATTGTTATTGTTATTGTTATTGTTGTTATTATTATTCGTGCTTTGAATGGTTAATATTGATGCTAAGTCTTCATTCAAGATTGTTGGATTCCTATAACTTCGAGTGCTCTCGGATGAACTTGATGCACTAATATAAGAACGATGATCATCCATTTTATTCGAGGTATTGTTGTTAAATGATGGGGAACTTTCTTTTATCAGAATAGATGGATTAGTAAAAGGTTGTCGTAAAAAGGGAGTTTCATTGGTAGGTGGACTGATGAAAGACGTAGAATTAGAATTTTCCGACGAATTTGCCGATTTCATAAAAGGGGATAACGGAGTTTCCGTCAATTTTGAAATATCCATAAAAGAAGCAGCGTCGCCAGTTGGGCTAGACGCGTTAAGGTAAGGAGGAGATTCTTCGGCAAGATTTGACGCGTCAATAAACGAGGGAATCGAGTCCTCACGTGGCGAAGATGATTGTGCTAATACATCATTATGAATTGGTGATTGACTGTAAATGGGAACTTTGCTGGAATATGATGCATTAGGTACTGGGATGTTGTTGTTGCTGCTGCTGCTGCTATTGAGTATGTTATTGGCAGTTGATGTTTCAACAACCTCGCTGTTAATAAGTAAAGGGTCTTCAAGTGATGGCGAATTGCTATTATCGTTAATATTAATTGGCAACGAATCATCCAAGTGTAAATTGGTTGTTGATATCGACATTGGATCTCTTTCTGCTATTCCTCCTCCAATTTCCGTTGATTGGTCTGCTAAAATATGGTTAATATTTCCTGGACTTCTTCTCGAAGGAGTCCCACTTCTCGTACTTCTACGACTGGATGATGCACTATTGGGTGAACGCCTGTCTCGTGGACTGTTTATCGAATTACCCATTGCTGAATGATGATTGAAAGCGGATGAAGAAGATGGCGCCAGACTATTTCTTCTACTCACATCCGGTGAATTATAACTCGTGGTATTATTACTTCCCGAAGAATGCATGTTTGTATTAATTCCATTAGTCATCATGCTGTTGCTGTTAATGTTGTTTGAAGGTGGATGATAATTGGGAATTGATGATATTTTCGGCGACATTGGAGTGAAACTCGGTTCCATCTGTTGAAAAGTAACTGTCGCATCATCATTAGAATTATTGGCGGCGGTTGTTACTGGAACAATCTCCGTAAAGACTGATGTAGTTGTTGCTCCATTCGCAGGATTAGTAGTAGTGACGGTAGTCAATTTAATTGTAACCGTTGTCGTAGTTGTGATATTTCCATCCGGGGTAATGTGTGATGTTTCTACTCGTTGATTTGGCGGTAATCCTCCCATAGCAGATTCTCCTCCCCCACCAATACCGCCAAAACCACCACCACCACCATCGCCACCATTAATGTTAAAATTCGGTGTTGAAGACGTTCGAGGTGGAGGGATTCCTCCCTGCTCGGAATTATCTCGCGAAACTCTCGCGCGTTCTGCTGTATTTTGTTGCTGTCGTAGATGACCTCCTAAAAATCCTTGAGGAATTCTATTATTATCAGCACTAGTTTTATTGTTAGTATTATCATCCTGATTATTTAAATGTTCCACGCGTTCCGTGAGGTCTTGCGGCACAAATCGTTTTGGGATCGGAACAATAATGCCAGGTGAGGTATTGTCAGGTGTACTCCCTGTCGAATCGGTTTCGTTTGTCACCGTCGTTGCATTTAAGTCTATTTTTCGGGACCGCGTTTTCCCTCGCGGGGCAACACCATTAAGATCTTGGTGTCTTTGGTCATTGTAAGATTTTGAGCGTGTTATTTTCCCCATTTCTTTCTTTACTGTAAAGAGAATACACGTTTCCTGCCTTCTGTTAAAATAAAAACTTGTTATTTGATGACGACGATTATATAATATTGATAGGAAAATATATACATAATTGAATCTGTTTTTTTATTTACCACACAGAGTTCCGAAAAAGAAATGATTTGCTTGTCATTCACGAAACTGGCCAATCATCGAGCAAGAAAACTTCTTTCTTCAAAGATGATGTTCTTTGCAACAAATTCGATTTTTCCTTGCTGATTATGCTCTCGTATTTGGACGAGTAGTGTGATTCATTGGATCATGTTCGATGATTCTCGGTTTATCGATAATATGACTATAGATCTTTTTATCCTCTCATGAATAAATAGCAGATTTTGGTGGGGACTAAAGTAAATGACCAAGCAAAATCAACAACCTACGTTACCCACTCAATCAAAAAAAAAAAACAAAGAAACTCTGATTGAAAATAAGGATCGAAATTCAAAAGAATGACTAGTAATAATTTTATTAGTAATTTTTTCAAATTACATCATCACTATAATTAAATAATTACATGATAAGTATGTTAATGATGCCATTTATATTATATGTACAATAATCAACACATACCCATACTTATACTACTAGATAAAAAAAAACTAATACCGTAATTTCCCAATAAATGAGAATACCTATTCATTATCTACTGATAGTGGGGGCACATGTGTATGTATAATGAGGGGGAAGATTCACTACAGTAATAAATCGCTCTAGAATAACTATTCGGAGATTTGTGATTGGTTAATTTGATTGAAGATATCTAAATGGGTAGGTTAATAATGATTCAAAAAAAAAATATCGAATGAGGATAAATAAGGATAAAAATATGGTACGTGGTGGGTTTGTGTATGTGATAGTACAAAATATCCTAGATTTGAATATGAATAATAATGATGGTGATGATGATGATGGTGATATAAACATAATTTACATATTAATATAATAATGATAAATATAACCCAATGCTTTTTTGGCAATAATAATATCCCTCAACTACCAATCACGCGACGCGTCAAAAATTTGCCATTATATAACAAAAGTTAAACAATGAATCAAAAAAAAAAAGGTAGCTGATTACTATTGGTGCCGTAGATGAAAATTATGATGATGAATGATGATGATAAATGATAATAAAATAATGATAATGCTGATTATGATAATTATAAGAAGAAGAATAATAATCTTCACTTGGCATATATAAAATAAGATGCCATAAGAAATATTTTCAAAGTTCGTAACTATTTTATTCCTTCCACCCAAAAAAATCAAGGTAATAATAATAATCATATTGAAATCGAGTCAAACCAAAAAAGAGAAAGCAGACAATCGTCGAATTTAATAAAGTATTTTGTTCACCGAAAGCAAATTTCATCGTATTCGATTCGATCGTATTCATCATCATCTGAATCTACCACTTCAAAGTCTTGTTCTGCTCGAGGCAGATTAGCCCATAGTAAAATTCTTCGACCTAATGATAAATGGAAGAACACAAAATAAGGATATGTTTGAATCACGTGATCTACGCAATTATTATTTGTGACGTACCTAAAGCATCCATTCTTTCCTCACTAGTTACAGCTTCGATATGAAACATCCAGAAATGGCCATTATTGCATGATTCCATGCATTGTTGACATGGTTGTGTGATGTGATATCCAAGTGTGTTTCCGCTTTTCCAGGAATTATTCAAGATAAATTAATAAAATATATCGATCACGTTTGAAATAGGAGAATTAATAGTTACCACATAAGACAGGCGACATCTCGAATTTTGCAGTGACAGTTTTGAGTAATGTAATCATCCGCGACCAATTGAACTCTGCGAAATCGATTAAAAAAATTAATTATCTCAGGTAGATGATGATGATGATGATATTGCAATTTAAAGAATTATTCACATACGATATTGGTGGAACATCTGTTGAGAAAAGTTCAATTCGAGTATCTGCAAGGAGCATCGCCTAATTGTTTATTAATTCGATATTAAAATTACATGAATTCAAAATCATGACGTTCCAGTCTCATCATGATAAAATACCTTCATGCCTCTTACGCAAACCCTTGTGTTACAATGAGCACAATAAAGTTTACATACAGGCTTACTTCTGAAATGATGATGCATGCTCGGGATAGAATTATCAGTGGATTGTGCTGTTGTCGTCGACGTCGTTATTGCAGTTGTTATTGTATTCATATTATTGCCAATCTCATTAACACCAACATTATCATTATTACCGCCATCAGCACCCTCAGACATATTTTCACCCAAAGAGACGCTGTTTCCGCTATTAACCATTCTGCTAAATGTCAAGTCTTGTTCTCCTAAGTTTTGCTGTTGAGATTGAAATCGTCGAGCCCATCGACCGGAAGTAAATTGCGAGGTGCTATGATTATTATTCGATATGGGTGGTGGTATTGCAGCTGTCGTCGAGTCGTGTAACGACGAAAATGAAGAGGAGTTGTAATTTGGTGACGACGCTATCGTCGATGCAGGAACTAAAGGTGCCAGTTTGACTTTACTTTATATTTTTTAGGTTTAAGAGAAATGTTTGGATAGAATTTCTTTTATCTGAGATAATGGGTGGCTTTTGTCCGAACTTTGAGTGCAAAAGTGAAAAACTTTTTAAGTAAAAAAAAAAACAACACAATATTTTCCTAATTATGATAACATTCAAGGCGTGTTATAGAAAAGTTCAAGATAAAACTGTAAGAAAGGAAGAGAACAGAAACGGGTTGCAAAAACATAAAACCGGATGCGAAATTAATATTTTATGATTCGTTAGTTTGATAAGCGGCAACCTATATAATAAATAGATGATGGCGAATTTTTTGGGTTTTGTTTGTTATTTTCACTTGATCCTTACACCACCGTTGATAGTTACACGACTTGTTCACACATCAAATTAACGTTAACGTGCTGCGGGGAAGGATTGGCCGGAAATCACACATTGATCCTTTGGCGACCACAAAAATAATGTTGTATTTTACACATGCAAGTACATTCGATGAAAAACAACAATTATATAATGTCAGATAGAGAAAAGTTAAGAGAAGATCATTTATTGTCTGAGGGAAATTCGAAAGAAATTAGTAAATTAATTTTCTTAAATGCTAGTTATCGTTATCGTTATCGTTATGTGTAAAAAAGGACAAATTATACATACAAAAAAGTCAGATGACGATGCAACATTTTCATAGTGTATCAATTAGTGAGAAATTTTCAAAAATCGGAATTTATTGATTTTAGTTAGTCTTCTCTCCATTAAATGTATTATAAAGGAGGTATATTTACTTATAGATTTTAAAACCTGAATAATTGGCGGATACCTGATACTTGATGTTGCACGGAATCCTTTACGTATGTATCGGTCTCTCTGAAATTCTTTTAAACAAAGGTGTCACGTCAAAATTTTCTCCGAAGTCCCGAGTATTTTGTGTAGCATTAACATCAGATCACGACAGACGCGCATATATGCAAATATAATCAGAAGCGAGAATGCAATTGTCTATCCGACAGTGTCAGTGAGCTTGCCTCTTCTGCTTATGTACTTGCGTTATCCGTCAAAAACACAATTTGATTTATTCAATTATTCATGCGAGTTAATAAATTGATTGGGCGGCACTTAACTTTTATGCAGAAAAAGCCTTAGATATGCAGACTTGGCGACAAGTTGCATCATAAAATTATCACTTTTTCTTTTTGCATGCATATATCGGTTTAGGATCTCGATGTTGTTGGACGTTCCGTTAACCCATTTTTTCATCATTATCTGCAAGTAATTTAACCTGCTTTTCATAAAAGCAACAGTCTCATACTCATTTGCAGAAATTTTCTGTGAGATATCTCTCTCTGTATTTGTCATAGTAAAATTTTTCAGTAAGAAAAATATTATTTCAAAGGTGAATTAAGCAAAAAATGTATTGACATTGAGGCTAATAAAGCGCGAAAAATTTATTATAACTCTGACATGTTTGTTAATCATGAATGTTTTTATTGATGATATTATTACTATTTATTACTATTGTGACGTATAAAAAAAGTTTTTAATGGGTTGTATCTTGGGTAAAATAACAAAAGATCATCTTCGTAAATCACGATTTGGTACATGTCCGGATTGCAGGGAAGCACGAACGGACGATGATTGGTGTCACTATTGCGAATCACGCAAATTTGAATTAAATTTCCCAAATTGGTCTAGTGGGAATGATGAAGTTGATAAGCTCATACGTGAAACGCAATTACGAGCAACCGGTTGGGATGATTATCTTGAATGGATTCCATATGAACATTTAAGAAGTGTACAATTTTACGCGAAGGGTGGTTATGGGATCATCTATAAAGCGTGTTTATGGGAATATACAATTAACGATGAACCACCACCAAACTGGTGGCGTTGGAGATTTTGCTCGAATCGGTGGTGTGTTGGATTGTTGGATAATAATGCTCCGGATGTTGAATTCTTGAGTCAAGTGATTATTTGATACTCTTTTTATATATATTATTTTTATTTCGAGATCTTGAATTCTCCGAATTATATCTATTAATTCTGCCTAACGAATTCTTTAGATGAGACCAAGACTTCGTTGTGTTGATTACGATGATGAAATATCGGTTTTTGGTGTGACTCAACATCCAATTTCCGGCAAATATTTATTGGTGATTGAGCCAACATTTCTTCTCTTACGACGTTATCTTTATGCTCCTGCTCAACCAAAAAATTCCTCAAAATTCTGTCCTCTATCGCTATGAACTAATCTCATTTCGATTCGATTCGATTCAATCAATTCAATTCAATTCAATTCAATTCGATCCAATTCCACTATCATACGTTCCCATTTTCTTCTTTATTTAATTAATTTAATATGTTTTAAGTCTTTTAAATCTTAATGTCCTGTAAATTAAATACATAAAAAATAGAAAAACTGCTAGACCATTTTTATACATTTTATCATTTTATCTGTAAAAATCTATGTAGCATCATTTCATATTTTTTCATAAGCTTTTTGATTATTAAGCCTCAAAATTTCCTAAACCATTCCTTTCATGATAATTTCTTGTAACATAATCACCAATTATCTTCGTTATATTGTAGTTTTTTAGATCTTGTATTTATTGTAATTTACTTTTAAGTTTTCATATACTCTATTCAATGTTCTTTCTTATTACGTATTCAACAAAGATGAAAGAGTCAATGAAATATATGATCAAAATATTTTTCTGAACGATATTTTTAACCTCACTGATGTATATCTTTTCAATGTCGCTTGATGTCATTTCAATGTCACAGCCAAGACTTAGACTATCGCTATTTCATGCGTTGAAAGTCTTTCAACGCATGAAATAGGCAATTAATTACATTTAGACATGGATCAGTAACCACTTTCAATATTTGGGGAAAGCCGGTAGAGAAGGGACCCCATTTGATAGTGTCATTCTATCGCTATTAATTACTAATAAAGTGACATCAATATCGATATTGTGTTCAATTTTTTTTTTAAAAAATCGGCCTTTGTAACTTCCAAATTTGTAATGGGCCTTCTTCAATTTGGCATTTCTTATAATAATACAAATACGCATATGTTGATCAATAAAAAAAGCACATGGCAGTGCAAGCCTTTTTGGGAATATAACTCGAACGAAAATCTCCCCGAAATTCATACCGAGCTTCCAAGTTTGCCGTCAACAAACTGGGTGAGTATGAGCATACAATAGTAATTAGTAATCAATTTCGTGGAACTAAAGGGTTATTTCAAGAAAATGATACGAATTACAAATTAAATATGGATACACAATACAACACAACAAACTTTTAAGCCATAATGCTTTATTGAGTTCCAGTTAAAACATTATTGATAAGAAATTGCAAACGCGGGAGAACAAGTTTGTATGAATTGATAAAATTACCGAGTTACGAAAAAGTTCATGATCTATATTACTTTACATGCGGAAGATACTATCAACCCCCCGTAATTATTTATGTGTGTGGGACGACAATAGTTTATTTGTACGATCGTAATACTGTAAAAAGAAATATGAGCATAAAATCTTTCTCGGAAAACTTTGAAAACATGAACTTCATATACAATTTGTGCCCCATTGTTTGTTCCCCTTTCTTGGAGCCGATTCATTCGTTACTGTAGTACTCGACATTTCGAAGCTATGGATTGGTGTCCACTTTAACCATACAAAAAAAAACGCTTATAAAAATCACAGTTTTTTTTTCAGTCTTCGTGATCCCAATTTAATCTATCTTATAATCAACAATTATTTACGACGACGAGATGTCTTGCATAAATGCTGATAATAAAAAACCTGTTCTTCAAACAACGAGTAAAGTTATTGCGACCATCGATTCTTATTATCAACGTTGGAAGGAACTTTTTATTGCAAAGTCATATCCAGTGGTACTCGATTTTGGTATATTTTGTTTTTCTATACAATCGAATTGCAAATTGCATTTGCCCCTTCCAAATTTCAATATATTCTTTCGTGCATTTCTTTACCGATATTTTAGCGCAGAATACTCTGTTGGGATTAATGACAAAGATTGATAGCGGCCGTCTTCGCGTATTAACCAAAGACCGTGTTTACGAGTTTGGTCCGAAAGACGCTAAAGATCGTGTAGAAATAAAAATAATCAACGATTCTTTCTGGATTCGATTACTTCTGTTCAGTGATTTGGTATGATCCGCAAAAGAATATAAATCACATGATGCTAGATATTCATGAAGATCATTTATATATAGGGTTTCGCCGAAGCATATATGTTGGGAGATGTAACTTGCGACAATTTATTAACATTGATTAAGGTATGAATGAAAAAAAAAGGAGGCATACGCAAGAAATTTCTCATTGTCAATTTTTATTATTAGCTTTTTGTAGCTAATCGATCACATCTCGATGAACTCAACACCGGACCAACATACATCTTCAATGGGATAAATTACTTGATGAATACCCAATTTGTAAATTCCGTTTCCAATGCCATCAACAACATATCCGCCCATTATGACATTTCCAATGGGATGTTTGCCAGTTTTCTAAGTCAAGACATGACCTATTCGAGCGCCTTTTTCACAAATGAAGAAGAAACGTTGGAGCAAGCACAATACAATAAATTGAAAAAAATAATCAAAAAAGCAAAAATTATGGAGGATGATCATGTCCTAGAAATAGGGAGTGGCTGGGGATCCTTTGCTATCGAGGTACGATACAACCGATGATTATTTATTATTCTTTTTTTTTCGCGGGTTAAATCTCTAATAGAAAAAATCCACAGGCTGTAAGGACAACTGGATGTCGAGTCACGACACTGACACTCTCAATTGAACAAAAGAAGCTTGCTCAAGAGCGAATAGAAGCTGCCGGATTTTCGGATAGAATCAAAGTTTTACTGTGCGATTATCGAAATCTGCCGGCTAAACATCAATTCGACAAAATCGTGAGCATTGAAATGATTGAGGCGGTTGGACCACAATATCTTGCCACATATTTTCAATGCTGCGATAAATTCCTTAAAGAAAAAGGTGGAATCGGTGTGTTCCAGGTGATTACCATGCCAGAAACAAGATATGATCGGTATTGTCGCGAAGTTGATTTTATACGGAAATACATCTTTCCCGGTAAACATGCTTTTTTATGTGATAAGATAATGAATGCTGCCTTTTACTAATTAAATAATAATAAACCCTCCCCTCCCCAGGCGGCCATTGTCCAACCGTCACATCTCTAGTCGCTGCAATTCACAAAGGCTCACGCGGAAGATTAATCGTCGAAAACATCGAAAACATTGGTCCACATTACGCGCGTACGCTACGATTATGGCGTGAACAATTTGTAAACGTGTTTGACGAAGACATTCGACCGGCTTTGCACGATGAATGGCCTGATATGTCGATAAAGGATGTGGAAATCTTTAAGAGAAAATGGGAATTCTATTTTGCCTATTGTGAAGGTGGATTTAAGAGTCGTATCTTGGGAAATGTTCAAGTAGTGGTCACTCGGGAAGGAAATGAGGCATTTTTGGATGGGGTTCCGATGTAATTAATTAAAGAGGTTCCGATGTAATTAATTAAAGGGGTTCCAATATAAGTTTTGTTAATTATTTATTTCAAAATACATGTAATTATTTATGCTATAAACATTAGCAACAAGTTTTTAACACAAACATAATAAGTGATAAGGTCTCAGTTTTTGACACTCAAATTCTTAATTTTTCTTTGAAAATTTTATTAACAAACCAAAGAAACCAATGTACTTTTGATTAACACATAATTAATGTCTATGATGAGTATCATCAAATTTTCACGCGTCTTTTCCTCAACAATCACGAAGGTAGCACCATTCCAACATGTATGCGTGCCTCGATTAAACATCTCGCACAAAGATCAAATAACGAGATGATTTGTCCTCTCGCGCTTCCAACAACTTTTTTACACGCAATCTTTATCATGTCATTTCCCCACCCAAAAGCCAACGAATAATAAAGATTCGTAGAAATGTGTTTTTTTTTAAAAAGAACCAGCTCTTCAATTAAGATGAAAGACAAGAAGATAAAAAAGAGAAAAAGCCGAGGGCAAATGTTTGATTTTAAACTCAACACAAGATTTTATTACAAAGGGATCAAAAAAATTAATTATTAAGGATCGCCCCCGGTCAATGTTGTGCATGTAAATGAGATTTGGTATCATTTTATATACAATTAATAAGTCTATTATTATGTGAAAAAGAAAGTATTATGGCAGGCTATCAAGAATCTATTTTTAGGAAACAAAGTGTATTATATATGCAAGCGTGTGTTTTATAATCTCTTAAGCGCAACTATAAATATAGAGAAGAAATTTGTCTATTGATGAACGGTGGTGTCAAGCGGGAAAAAAAAATCCAATATTTCTCGTGACAAACACAAATATAAAATAATACTCCACATTTCTCTAACACACGATCCAGATTTTTTTTGTTTTAATACAGCAACGAATGGCATTCTGCTACCATGTGTGAACGGTCAGCAAGCTCTGAACCACAAGCGGCAGCATAGGTGATGAGCGTCAAACTCAGCACAACAACCGCTTGGAATACTGCGTGCTCCCAGTTTCCAAGGATATTATTCGAGGTGGTGATATCAGTTTGATATGTTTTGACCGAAAAGGTGGTTTTGATTGATGAAATCATTTTTACGTCTTGAGAGGATTACTGGTGTTTGTTTGTTGATGTGTTTTTAGCTGAGGAAGAAGGGGAGTAAAAGGTTTAGCTTTTTTTTGAGATTGTAAAGAATGGTGGGTATACGAAGATTAGGAAAGTGTTGTTGTATTTTGGGGGAAGAGGAAGAGGGGGACGACCAGCGACTAATAATAATTTTTTAGATTTTAATACGTTGTTTGAGTTCTCGAAAAGTTATTCGAAAGAGCCAACGATTAGTGTTCTAATCGACTTCTTTTATATCGATATCATTTTCTAATTCGTGTTTAGATCCATATGGAGCGTGATGACACATTCACGCATAAGTTAATTTTAGAAACACAAGAGATATTGTGCTGTATTAGTTACATTAGTTATATAATTATATATTAATTATATTGATGCTGGTGGTGGCACTGATTATTTGGTGATGAAACATGAGCCGAATTGCCCCCGGTCTTGAAATCTCGGTTTTTCGATCGAATCCTTTGTAGAATATTCTTTAGAATTATGAATTATTTCTTACGATAGAATGAATTCTCGCTTACAATAGAATGACACTTGTTTGAATTCTTACTCCGTCTTTTATTACATGTCTAACCGTTTCGAAGAATAAACATCTTTTACAAACGTGTATATCATTGAATGAATTGTGTAACGTACGCATGTCTTTTATTACTGCACACTTGGCGATGATTCTTTTGCATTTAATTATCGTATTGGTATCACTAGATTATTTATTACATACCGATACATAATTTAATGTCATTAATCACCTAATTAATCACCTAATTTCGTTGATTAATCATATATCAACGATTAATGCAAAGAATATGAAGATGAAGGAGGAACGTGGTTTAAGACTATCAATATGATGTTTTTTTCATAAAGATAATTAATTAAAAAGATACACCAATAAAACGTATGATTAATCATCTCATCATTTACTAATCTTCTTTATTTATTTGACAATTTGTTAGAACTTCGAATCCCAAGACGAGAAATCTTTGATATAAATATTAAGGAGCCAATTAATTGCTACGCTACGTAAAGTAGTTTTCGCGATAATTTGACGATAATTTCAGTTTCTACAAGATAACCATATCAGATTGCTGTTTTTCTGGTACCAATAAATCCACATCTTTTGTCTTTTTATTTATAAACAAGTATCATGTGAATTAGGAAGATATAAATCTTCGGTGTGCACAGTAAATAATAAAAGTTGCATAGCACAGCTTTTCCAAGATACGGGGTTGTACTTGCTTTTTAATCTATTATCTATTTACATGTACCCGCCGTACTTTTTTAATGCAGATGATTGCAGTTTCAGTTTTTGCTTTCAGGGTCTCCTGCTCTCCGCTGAACCTTGCTTGCATTCTTTTGAAATAGTAATTATCACGAACGCATTTTTTCTCGATATAACGACGGATCGTCTTCCACGATCTGTCGTTATTGCAGAAATAGAAGTTTCTAATCCTTTCTACAGCGTTTAGAGTGCACAGTTAGTGTAGGGATAAAATCTCAAAATCCTCCACTATATATAACAAATTATCCACGATAAAGAAAGAAATCTTATCGTGCCAAGCCTTGTTGTGTGACAAGCTTCACTATAACGAGATTCACCAACGTTTCTTTATGCTCTGAAACATACAACGTAGCGCTGATTATTTAATTTATTATCTTTACGACAAAAAATCGACTAATCCTATGGCTAATAATAAATAATAATCAATGATTGGTTTGCGTTGCAGTTTCTTTGTCGATTGGAGGATAATCTTTTTTTTTAAAACCAAGGTCTTCACTGTTCTTTTCATATGCTTCTCAATGTAGTGTGTCATAATGAATAATAAAATAGAAGAAAACCCGGTTGCTATTTTGGTCGTTTCTTCTCATACACTGTGCTGCAATGAATGCATGCATACAATGTTTTTGCACTCACTATCGATCAAACTTGTGAAAGGCTCCTTGAACTTTCTGTACATACATGTAATGATACATAACATTAATCCATGGGTTAATTTATAGTCTCATATTCTTTATAAACCTGGTCAGTAGTGCAAACTTACCTCTAACCAAAAGGATCGTTGATCGAAATATAAACAATGATTTGTGTCTTGAAAAAGAAAATATTGTTGTTTCTTACATATATATACATACAATAAAGCGAATTAAAATAGAAATAAAAATAGTTTTAACTTTTGTTGGTCTATAATGGAAAGGATCGCCATCACTTTATGTGGAGATGACATTAATGTTCGAATGCACGAGTATGCACTCGCGAAGGCGAAATTACTAAAAAGGGGAAATGTTTGAAAATATTATAATTATTAGCGTTAGTTAGTTGATAATGATAATAATAATAGGCGTAGATAAACAACAAACAATAGTGATAGGACTTCAAGACAAAAAACAGCAAGGTGTGACAAGAATTATTTTTGATCAAATATTTCGGCTATAAAATCCAGCCGTGAATCACGAATGTGTTTGAACTCACCACGTTCTCCTTCCCTTTAATTTCCCTAATTCGTTAGTTTGTAAAATCAAAGAAGTTGCTTGCAGCTTTTTTAGAGAAAAAGTTTCTTTGATCAGAGACTTTAATTACCATTTTTTTTGCTGAATTACCATTTTTTGCTGAGCAAAATTTATCATTCTCAAATTCACAGACATTAACGTTACGTTAAAAGATTCATTATCATATAAAATATCACACAAATAAGGAAAATGCGCCGAATCAATTGTTTTTTGGGAATTGCAATGTGTCTCTTCTTGACTACAAGTACGGGTAATAATATGATGGCGTACGCGCAAGAATGTGGACGTCAGAATCCAAGTGGAAGTAAGTTACAGTCATATCATTACGATTATATAAAGTACTATAAGAAAGATTGGATTTCTAATCTGTATTTTTTATCATAAGCGTGTAATAAAGCAGCCGGTCAATGCTGTTCACAGTGGGGGTAAGAAATCGAAACACCTTTGATATGCATGCGAAAATAATAATTATGCATCATGCATCACATTATCACGTGGTATATAATATTAATATTTTGTCTTTTGTTTAGTCATTGCGGTTATGGTATCGAATGGTGTGGCAAAGGGTAAGTAATGGTTATTATATATATGTATATATATAAATATTAATCATTAATTAACTAAATCATAATTAATTAAATCATAATTCCAGATGTCAAGAAGGCTTCGGTGCATGCTCACTTTCACCAGGCGAAAGCAACAATCTAAAAAGGTCCCATGACTCCTCATCATCATCATCGAGTAAAAAGAATCATCATCATTATGGAAAAATAACAAAGAAACGCGGCAAAAAGAAACACGGCCAAAAGAACCCGAAACCACCAAAGGGAAAAAATTCCACGAAACCTACTAAAACGGCTGGAATAGTAAGATCAAATGACGGCGGTTGTGGATCGAGTGGTGGAAATGAAAAGTGTGCTAGTGGTTATTGCTGCTCGCAATATGGTTATTGTGGAAAGGGTAAAGGTAATTATTATTTAAACTACGTAAATTAACGTGAATTTCGATTTTGATTTTAAAAATGTCGAATTAATATTTATCCTATTTTCTCAAAGACTATTGTGATAAAGGATGTCAGTCCGACTTCGGAGACTGTAGTGCAAAAGCTACTACTTCATCATCAACAAAAACTACAACAACCACATCCACAACAACCACATCCACAACAACCACCTCCACAACAACCACATCCACATCCACAACAACCACATCCACAACAACCACCTCCACAACAACCACTTCCACAACAACCACTTCCACAACAACCACATCCACTTCCACCTCCACAACTTCAACTTCAACTTCACCTGCTGCTGCCATTAATTATCGAACTTGTATTAAATCAAACAGTTTCGCGGTAAGAATTATTTTTCTTCTTCAATTATTTTCTGAAAGAGAATACCAATAAATTATTTTTTCTTTCCAATTAGCTTACGTTTGACGATGGACCAATGACTGTGAGTTTTTTTACCTGACTTTCTATTTTCTATTTGAATGTATACACTATATACTAATTGATATTTTATATGTCAGTGGACACATGAACTTCTCGACACTCTAAAAGAGAAAAAACAAAAGGCAACATTCTTTGTAAACGGTCACAACTGGGGTTGTATCTATGACTATGTCGATATTTTAAAACGAATTCACGACGAAGGTCATCAACTTGCCGCACACACCTGGTCACATCCATCAATGTCAAAAATCACCAACGAAGAAATCAAATACCAAATGATTACACTTGAAGATACTCTTCGAAAAACCGTGGGTGTCGTGCCGAAATTCATGCGACCACCGTACGGTGACGGAGCCAAAGATCCACGCGTTCTAGCTCAATTGGGTGCATTAGGATATAAACACGTCGTCACTTGGGATATGGATTCTGGAGATTCAACGGGAAGCACCGTAGACACTTCAAAAAAAATTATAACAGATGCACTCGCTGCAAATCCTGCACCTGCGCCACACATTCTTATCAGTCACGATGTGAAACAACTCACTTCGGAAAATTTGGGCTCTTGGGAGATTGATACGGTGCTAAAGGCTGGTTATGAGTTGGTGACCGTGGGTGATTGTTTGGGAATTAATGAGTCCGAATGGTATAAAGAGATCACAACACCTAGTACAAGAGATGATACTTGGGTTTGCACTGATGAGGATATGCATCGTGATGATGGTGGTTTTTCTTAGTAAATTCGACTTTTATAAAAGAATGTAACACATAATCACACCCTCTGGCGCAGAAAAGAGTGGGACTTTAAAGAGGTTGTGACTGCGCGGAGGTCAAATAGCTGGAACCGAGAAAAAGGTCTCCTCGAGTTTTTTTTCTTGTAGAGGTGTATTTTTATTATCGGGGTTTTGCTTGGGTTATTACTTGTGTGAACCAAAATATCAAAAAGACTATTCGATTCATTATTTTTGTAGATATTAATAACATATCGGTTTTATTAAAGCATAAATAAATATATAGACGGCGCGAAGGCTGTGCCGCGCGTTTCGCTAAAGAAAAAACAAATTTCAAGGCCAATAACTTTAAAACTTACTATCTTTAGTATTTTGAGTAATAATTTCTTCAACAAGGTTATTATTCAAAGAAAAGACCAAACAAGAATCAAGAAATATTTCGCTAATATAAAGGCAAACATATGCGCGCGTTTATCTGACGAAATACCAACTCTCTAAATCGTAGTTGGTGTTTGGCTGCAATTCCGATTCTCGGTGGTCACGAAAACTCGTAGACGTTATTGACATCTACCTTAGATTCTTGACCCGGCGCAACGAAAAGTCCTTGCTGAATATTTCTCGAAGATATTCTTCGTAAACTCGTCGACTGTGGTTAGAATCAAAAGAAATTTGTCCGTTTTCATGGCAAGAGGCTGATTTTCAACTACTACACAAATTTGTCAAATTTTTCATGGCGAATGCGAAAAAGTCTTGAACAAGGTTCGTTGGCGATTGGAACCAAGGACTCACGAGATGAAAACGAGATTTTATATTGTGCCACGTCCATTGAATTCAAAGACGATGAAAACATTAATGCTTCTAAACCCTTTCGAAAATTTGAATCATACAAAAAACCGAATTATTTCTTGACACTGCAATAACTTCAAAAAATTTGGTGAAAGTTTATTTTATCGGCTTCATGTGACTTTGGTATATTAAATTTCTAATTCATTCAAGAATTAAAGATCTAAACTTGAACAATCTCGAATCTTTAACAGTCAAGAGTCAAGGTTTCAAAATGTTATACAGTCTACCCTCTCTATTATCAACCTCTTTAATATCAATACCTCTTTATTATCAACATTTATTGCAGAACAAA